GCAACTCCATTGTGGATACTCTTATTAGAACATGTGACTGTATCGGAACTTTTGTCTCACAATGAATATTTTTATTAAAAAAATTAACGAAAACCTCAACAAGAACTTTCATTGTGGATGTTTTAAGCACCTGAGTTCTAATAAGAACCCGTGACTAGACAAGAAACTATGTCCTAGAGTAGAAGTTCTTGTAAAACCCCAACAATAACCTCCATTGTGGATGCTCTAATTTCACATTTTTAATGGATTTTAACTGTAATTATTTATTAGTATTAACTAGAGATTATTTAGAGTTATTATTAAATCTATCAAATATTTTTATATTATTATTCAATATATTTAGTCGTCAAAAAAAATAACAGTTTTAAAAATGTTTTTTGTAAATCCTATAAAAGTTAAAATTATGTTTCTTTTGTTTCATAAATAATAAAACTTTGATATATATATATATATATATATATATATAGGGTTGGGTTCACGTGAGACCAAGGGTTTTTTGTGAGACTCGTAAGACCAATTTATGTTCATTGATCAACTTTATAAACTAATGATCTAATGGTCTAAAGTTGCAAGGTGACAATTTTGTAATTATTGAGAAGTCTCGTGGCGTTTATGAATGTTCGGATCTGACGATTGTAAATCTAATCCAAGGGTTGAGAATTGGTCTTACGGGTCTCACAAAAAATCATTGGTCTCACATGATCCCAAGTCTATATATATAAACAAGAACACCTTCATTTTATGAGAAGAACATCTGTGATTATAGACAATCACATGTGATACTATTATTCCATCACATATGATACACATGTGATACTAAATCAAAAACACGGACGATTTTCAATGCGATCTTGGTTGCGGGCCAAGTCGCCCTTACACCACTAAGCCCCCTCACAAGTATTATCACATGTGATAAGGTTGTTGTTGAGATGATATTATAATTCATCAAAATCATCACATGTGATGCTAAATCATAAACGCAAACAACCTTTGGTGCGACCTAAGTAGTAGAACACGTCGTCCGTACATCACAGGGTCCCCTCACGCGTATTATCACATGTGATAAGGGTGTTCTCGCGTTCTCATAAAATAGAGGTGTTCTCGTTGAACCTCCACCTATATATATACACCAGAAAAATTTGTATTTGGTTGACCAATTTCGTTTTCATTAATAGTATAATTGTTATTTGAAATCATCATTGAATATAGATATTTTTTTTAAAATTTGTATTTGGTTATACAAATCTAATTTTTTTTTAACATTATATACAAAATAATAATAACTCAAATTGAAGTATGTTAACATATTCTATTAATTTTTCTTTAACATCTGGTTTTGTTAATTAACATATTTTATTATGAGTGAATTGTTTTAATTATATTATGAAATATTTAATATATTAATATTTAAATGTCTATTTTGATTATTTATATTTTGATAAGCTAGTTTTTGTCAAAGATATTTAGTTCATCAACTAGTTTATCAGGAACCAGGTAGCAAACTTATTAGCCAACAACTAGTTTACATGTATTTTTTTTGGTAATTTTTACAATGTGTTGGTTTGTATAATAAAGATTATTCTATCACCACCTTCTCCTAAACTTTTTCCCCTATTTTTTTTTATATACCCCCTCCTACACAAAACAACGAATACACTAAATTATTACGCACTCGTTGCCGATTACATTATAGTAATAGTCTTGATTCTCAGTTAGTTCAAGCATTATCTCTTTGCGGATAATGTCTCATTCGTCTTCATGGCCACCCAGACAAGCAGATATCACTCGGAATCCATAATTTTCATCGCCCAATACATCTTGAATCTTTGTGATCTATGGATGAAATAAACTCGGGATTTGATCAAGATATGGATGTAGGGTGTTGGATTGTTGTTGGAAGTCAAACTATGTCTCGCTTATTCTTGATGGCCAAAGCTTCAAAGTTAATAAATGTTGGCACGTTAGAACAACTACGTCTACGAGTTTCTTCAGTAATTGCTTTCTTCATAGCTTGATTCTTTAGAGAATGACGTCCACGAGTGGTTCTATAAACCAAGGGTTCATGGAAAAACCTTTTTGATGGCATGACTACATCCTTCAACTTTCTCACTAAGATTTTGCGACGAGGAGCTGACTGTTTGTTGAAATTTTCTCTAAATATTTGAACTTCATCGTCACATTAAATATCATCATCTTGTGCAGACACACATGCATGGTGAGAAATCAAGTTTTTTTTTCTCAAAATACGTCTATCGCATCAAGTTGAATGGATACGCATTGACATGTATACAGTGCTTGTTCATGCACACACAGTGGTGGATGCATATGTTGGGGTCCTGGCCCCCAACAAAATGATGTTTAGAAAGCCCAATTTTTTTTGTGTATAGTTTTTAATTTAATTTGGTTGGGCCCCCAACAAGAAAATTATGAAGGCCACATTCCATATTTCCATTTCCTTCCTTCACACAGTTCACGGTCGATTGAGAACGACTTCACCCCCACCCTCACGACCTCACCCACTAGCCACTGCTACGAGCCGACGCACGCACCTTCTTCCTTGTGTCTGCTTCTTCCCTGCTTGCGGCTGCCTGCTTCTTCTTCTTCGGCCGTCGGCCCTGGTGGTTTGGGCGTTGGCTGCTTCTTCCCTACGTGCAGTGCAGCGTGCGGCTACATACAGGCTACTGCTTCTTCCCTGATTTGGGTAAAAAAAATTATTTCCAAATTCCAATATATAATTTTGAATGAATTTGATTTTGTTGTTTGCTTCACAATTGATGATTTGGTAAATGCTTTATGTTAGGTTAATTTTGCAATTTTATAGACAAATGGAAATGTTAGGTTAATTTTGCAATTTTGTAGGAAAATGGAAATGTTAGACAAATGGAAATGTTAGGTTAATTTTGTAGGAAAATGGAAATGTTAGACAAATGGAAATGTTAGGTTAATTTTGCAATTTTGTGTTGAAAAGCAGTATACAAGAAAATTAAAGATCCAAGTGTTATTTGTGAATTATATGATCAGGCAGAAGGAATAATTCCTAGTTGGTAGGTCTCCTTGGGTGCTCATCTTAAGAAGAGTACTAAAAGATTAAAACATAAGCYTTAGAAGTCACTCTCCACCACATCATTGCATTTCAATAAGCAGGATACTCAGTACCACACATGAAGAGGTAAATATACAAGTCATATTCACTCAACAAATATAAATTGTAGGGTCAATGCCTACCTTACTTCAACCGCATCAGTTATCTTTATTCGGTTAACCGAACAATTTAAGCTGAAAAACCTTTTTTGATTCGAACGAATTGTTCGGTTTCGAAATTTTTTCGACCCTCCTAAGTGTGCCCCCAACCATAATAGTTTCTAGATCTGCCACTGTGCGCACATGTCAAACCATGACTTGTATGTAGTTTACAACCACAATTTTCAAAAAATACGCTAGTATCGAAAGACGATCATATTCACTGAAAATCATATCAAGTGCATAAAATGAAACAAAGCCCCACAAATTTTGAAAGTGTGGTTTTCCAAATAGATGTTTCCTAATAGTTTTACTATATTCAAAACTTGCTTTGATTGATGTGTCTTGTGACTAATTACGTGATGAATATGAGATAGACTTTGTAAGTCTGCTTGTAAAGTCTCCAAAAATATTTTTAATTTGGAATGTAGGCTTTCAACTCTATAAAGTTCAAAACTTGATCAACTCAAGCAGATACAAACATTTCCTTATATGATATCAACCATACACTATCCAGGTAATTCAAAACACATGAAAAATACAGCAAACATATGTTAATATCCTTAGTAATAATGGTTAAACTATCTTATATCAATAATACCTGGATAATCGAGCAACATTTCTTGAAGTTGTCCCAAATTGTACAATATATCATTCATGATTTTTAGATTCAAGTAATTGCAACCATGCTTGATAAAATGAATTCTACGAGTGAGTCTCATGGTTTACAATGTTTCAAAATATTTTGATAGATGTGTCATCTACAAAGTAATCGTTTAGCACCCGAAAATACCACTTTGCATGCATTTTCTCTTTGTTGATGTTTTGACTTTCCCTTGTAATTTGTAAGGAGATCATACTATTTATTTGTATGTTGGGTTGATCTTCCAAGTGCTCTCTTTGGAGGCATGATTGTCAATGTGATTAAAAAGCAAATTGTCAATATAACGATTTGACTATTATGAAGAGAGGGGAAAAATGAAGATTTATCGAGCTATGGAGAACTTAGAATCATGTGTTCATTGGTGAACGAACGGTCATAATTCTATACAAAATTGTGAATGGCAAGCTACAAAATTGCCTTGTAATGTTCATAGTATTTGAAATGCTTAAGATGATGTAAAGAAATAGTTATATTAATTCTATATTCTTAGGGGCCGTTTATCTAAACATTTATCTGGTAAGTGCTTACCGGTTGATTTAACAATATCACTTACCCTACCAGGTATGTTTTTAGTTCAAAAAACGACATTGTATGTAACAATTCACCGAGTAAGAGTTGACATCCTCACTTACAGGTAGGACTCTCGGTCCTCGCCATCGCTCTTACCATGTATGGTTCTCGATCCTTGTCAAGGTGATGTAACTTGATAAAGAAATACTGGGTAAGCGTTTGGTAAACCATCCTTACATTCTATTAAAATTTTACACCCCATTGCATTGTGCAGGTACACTACCAGTTGGCTCCCAAGATCTTAAAACATTTAAGGTCTCTTATGAACTTGTCCATATATACAGGATCTTAAAATATTTCAAGATCCTGGGAGCCAATTACGTTTTGTAGTATTTATCAACATGATAAATATTCATGATGAATAATATTTATTATTATTCACATTTATTCATAATGAATACGTCATAAAATAGATGGTTTTCAGGTTTTCAAAATATTTAAGTTTACAAATTCTGAAAGCCAAGCCATTACTTTGTATTGCATCATTTTGAGTTCCATTTCACTGGTCTTCATTGGCATTGCCATTGCCATTCAACACTAGCTTTCTGTAATTGATAAATCCATAGAATAACAACAGTTACAACATACCTCTGAAAATCTAAGATATAAAAGCTAAAACACCAACATTCTCTTCATTTTGAATTCTTCTTCTTCTTTGAGTTGTTGATTATTTCCGAGGCCGTGAATGCATAATTTTGAACCAGACCGGGAACCGTCAGTTTCAGGTCTCGAGTCATCCTCTGTAAAACCAAAGCCAGCACGCTTACATCTGCCATGGCTCTGTGAGCTTTGCCCATCTCTTGGATCTCATAATGCTCCCTAAGGGCTTGAAGTGAATTCGAAGCAAGTTTTGATCCTGCCCACATGATCAAACCCAATTAAAAAGCGTTTGTCGCCTTTTTATGCATATATCGAGACTACAAAACAGATGGAGACAGACCTTCGCGTTTCTTTACTTCACGAGCAGGAGACATTGTGTCCATGAAATACCAATCTAAAGGGATTTCAAGGGAGCAGCGGCTGAATTCACTGATCAGAAAGGGGACATCAAAGGCCTTGGCATTGTGCGCGATTAATAATATTTGACCCCCGGGTTTCTGACGGCTTTTGATATACTGAACCAAGATGGGTATCAAGTCTTTCATCCTGCACACAAAGTTCTTGTCTTTAAGATTCTTTAACAGCAAGATATCAACTCAAAGTATCAAACACTATTTGTAGCCATCCATGAAGAAGAGTAGAGAAATAGGTTATGAATTTCGATAACTACGGGGCGTTTGGTTCCCAGAATGTTTTTTTGACGGAATGGAATCTCTTAGAGGAATTTGACTTTGAATAAATTGGAATAGGGATTTGACCGCGTGTTTGGTAGGCATGAACTAGAATGAAATCCGTTAAATGATTAGGAATCTACCTGTTTGGTTAGTAGAATGTAACTTCAGAATTGGAATGAATAAACGATAAATGACCAAAATCCCTCTTCATGATAATTTTTATAATTTATTTCTTAGATTATACTAAAATATCAATTTTCTATTATAAAATAATCTCTAAATAAAGTTATCTATCAACCAAACGCCCCCACCACCGTTCCTCCCCACCCCACCCTTTCCTTTTCCAGCCACCCCAGTTTCTTTATTTGCTAAATCTCAATGTTTAAGCCTTAAATACAAGTTTTTATAAGTTAATTAAGTACTCTTAAAATATTCCAACAGCTGTAAATATATAAAGCAACAGAGCCATCGTAGTATTTTTTAATTCCTCTGAAAGGAAGGGTGGTAAGTTGATCATTTACCTATCGGGGTCTAATCGATCCTATTTTTTTCTTTCTTTGATGGAAGGTAAGGGTCWATTTTATTGTAAAGCCGTATGCAATGCATAAAAGATGCCCGTACGGTTGTTCGATTCTATCTTTTTTTCGGGTTATTCTTTTATCTTCCTCTCATCATGCGAAATAGAGAAACTTCTTATTATCTTATATCATCAGGGTAATCTTTTTTTGAAGTAGCAACGGGAGAATTCATCCTGGAAGTGGGAGAACTGCTGAAACTACGTGAAACCCTGACAAGGGTTTATGTACAAAGAATGGGCAAACCCTTATGGGTTGTATCCAAAGACATGGAGAGAGATGTTTTTATGTCAACAACAAAGACCTAAGCTTATGGAATTGTTGATCTTTTAGTTGTTTATTAAACTATCATACTTATAAGGCAAGTAGCTTACAAGGCAAAGCATGAGAAATCAAACATGAAGTGATGAGACGAAAGGGCTAATATGTGTTGGCAAGCTATGATATGACTAAGCAAGCTAGTTATGAGTTGTCAAGGTTAGAAGCATGTGTTGGCAAAATTCATGATGACAAGCAAGAACTAGAAGCATGGCAAATAAAAGCTAGAAGCATGATGTGTCAAGATTCCTTTATATTAAGCATGATATGTCAAGATTATTTTATATTAAGCATGAGGTGTCAAGATTCTCTTATCCTCAAAAATGAGGTGTTAATCGTAAGAGTACAATTTTGGGAGCAAGAAGAACGAGTAGCTAATGCAATGAATTTACCTATATATCGTGATTGAAGTGTTACCATTAGTTCCATACCAAAAATAAGAAATCTCTCTCTTTATACCTAATCAAGCTTGAAGATAGGAATTAAGGGAAAAACTAGGCATAATCAAGGTGAGTACTTGTGAGATTTATGAGGTACATACATGCTATATAAAAGTATTTTATGCATTACAAGATATTTTGGGATGTTTGCTTTACATGAAAATGTTATACAAGTTATGCATGATGACATGTTTTGATACAAGTATGTGTTTTACACCAAGGCATGAAAGTGTTTACATGTTATGATACAAGTATGTGTTACACAAGGCATGAAAGTTTTTACATGTTATGTATGACCATAAATATCCAATGTACGGGATATTACAAGAAGGGACGTCTTGCAAACGGACCTTATGGGCCAGCCTTTATGGACCCGGGGGGTTAGCAAATCTCAAGACAAGTATGGCATACTTGCATGTTTCAAGTGAGATCTCAAAACAATGTTTATGCATGATGAAAAGATTATTATGTGCATAATCAAGAGTTTCAGTCAATTACTATTCACAAAATGTTAGGCATCTGAAAATTGTTTATTCATGAAACCATAACTAGTCACTAAGCTTTTAGCTTACATATCTCATGTATGTATATCAGGGAAGGAGTAAAGAAGGATAGCATGAAGGAGTTTGTTCTAATCAATAGCAAAATTTGTACTATAAGCTATTGAGTTACGTTTCCGCTATCCTTTGAACTTTGTTGTAATTATAAGCTAAGTTATAAATAAAGTTAAATTTCAAGTTTACATTGAAGACTTAGTAGTATTAACGGCACCCAAAGTAGGAATTGGGGCTTTACACCCCCCATAAAAATCGATGTTCACGACGGTGAACAAAACTTGAAGCAACGACGAACCCCTACAGAACCTTCTATACTACGGATTGTTGTGCGTTCCAAAGCTATGGATCTGTTGTGGGTTTTGATTTCAGATGAAACAGTATGGGGCAAGAGCCGAAGATAGAACCAAAATAAAAGATATCCAAGTAAAAGATCCGGTCCAACCTTGATTGCATCTCAATCAAAACCAAGAAAAACTCAAAGATGTAGAGAAGAGGTCTAGTTTTGGGTTTTGATTCACTTTTGATTTCAGAATTTGATTCAAGAACTTCAAAGTGTTTTTGGGTAAAGCTCGAAGCAGATTCAGATTCAAGATGCAAATACAGATTCAGGTTGGGTGTGGAGGTGTTCTTGAGATATGAAAATGATTTAGGATTTGATTGTTGTAATATGTTTGTGGGATTTGTTCTCAGTGGTGGCTCACAACGGTGATCATGGCAATGTAAGTGGCAGTGTTATATCAGATTTTTCATGTCTCTTTGCTCTTCGATTTGGTGACGGAGTTCTTCAGATGGAGGTCATATGGGTCTAGGTAAATAAGTAGGGAAGATGGGATAATTTTGTCTTTTGAGAAAATAGGATGGAATGGAATTGAATTCCTTATCAGTTGTGATGGAATAACCAAATCCATGAATGGTGGAATGTGTGGAATTCATTTCCATTCCAAAGGTAAAACAAACGCCTGAACGGTATGTGGTCAACGAAATTAATCATTCCAATTCCCTCAAATTCCGTCGGGATCCTATGAACCAAACACCCCCTAAGGGTGGGTCCTTTGGTTAAATGACCTATTGACAGGATTTGAGGATGTCACTGCTTGACAGAAGAATGTCAATTACATACACAAGAATGTCTAAAACCTATAAAAAGGTCAAGATTTAAAAAACATTTCTGAGGAGGTCATTTAGCTAAATAACCCTTGATAAAAGCTGGAAGATTCTTCACATCACTACCCAAAATCTCATGTATCTTCCCACAAGCAAGACCCCCAAAAATCTATGCATTGTTGAGGATCCTATGCTACATGGGGCATGCTACCTTCGTCACAGAACTATACGGTTACCAACCACTCTGAATTCAATAATGGAAAAATATTCAGAATCAGTAAAATTGAGTTCAGACCGATGTTTTAAATAGTTATGAATTTTTATATGTTTCAAAAAGAAGTTATAGACTTGGATAGCTAAAAGTCTATATATCTAATATATGTAACCTGTATAGTCATGAGCAACTAGACCAAGAACAAATGTTTTTGACAAGCTTTATGAAACACTCCATGCTCCACCACAATGTTTGGCAAACCCTTTTTGCAATCCGGGTCATTATTAAAACAACCATTCTATTCTTTTCGGTAGGGGTATCTTATTCCAAACCCTACTTCCAAGTGGGAGATACTTGGTGTTTTTGGCTTGTTTTTTTATTACTTATGATGTTACTGAAACAGTCACTACACCCACTGGGGCAGAGGCAAGGTTTGCCTACATCCTACCCCCACCCCCCAGAAGAAGAAAAAAACCCGGCCCTACCACTATGTGGGATATACTGGGTCCGTTTGTGTGGTTTGGTTTACACTAACCTCCTACTATACCACTTGTAGGCTTTCTTTTAGAATGGTTGAATATGCTTGCCTCCTGGTCCTAGTCATTCTCTAGAATGGAAATGAATATAAAGAACATAAGAGCTCACTTAGGTACTATGTCTTCCTGAACAATTACAACAGGAAAACAAACAAAAAAGAAAATGACAGTGATAAAGCTATAGAGCGATGATCTTGGCACCCAAGAACCACTGCTTTAAACAGAGGAAGCATGCTTCAAAAAGTTGTGCAACATAATGGTTCATTCCAACAGTAAACCATCCCATTTTGGTGCATCATCACAATCTTCTAACGTTATCAACTTTTATGTGATGACATATATCATATAAAAGCAACAGTTTTAGAATGATTTAAGAAACACAAAACATAATAACCAAAGATTATGAATGGTACCTTGGGACACCTGGTTTATTGACCATATAGGATGAAATTCCATGTATATGCGAATTTAGGACGTATTTATCAGGATTTACAAGTGTCTGAAAGGTACTATTTTCTCCCCCACTAAGATCCTGCAACGCAATCTCAATGATGCGGTCCTTCTCTCGACTAAATCCAGTGGTCTCGATATCAAAGACAATAATGGTTATAAGCTTTGATATATCATTGTTCTCTGAAATCTTCTCTTCAATATGAATGCTTTTACTTTCACTGATTTCTACTCTACTTGTATTCAAAGTGTTATGTGTCAAACTTGCTACATCTGCTATTTGTTGGCCAATGTTATTTGTTTTTCTGCTTAGGATGTTCTTTCCTTCTGTGTTTGTAGATAGAGATTTCTGGCTCCATCTTCTATTATTCCCCCCTTGAAGGCCATAAATAGTGGAGCCAAATAACGGAAACTTACAACTCTTTTCTCCTCTCCTGCTAAAATTATGGACCTTTTCCCACCAAGAACAAGAAAAGGTATGAATTTGGCATCTAGGAAGTTGAAAGTGTGAAAAGCACATTGCTGCTCTCATTGAGTTTAGGAATTACAACACGATTCGGACCGCTAGAAAGAAATAATCAGTTGGTTTAACCTGCAACAAAGCAAGAACAGAAGGCAAAACTACATCAGATCAGAGGATAACCAGAACATATTAACAGACAATTGGAACTCTAGAATGCCCTATTACTATGGTAAAACTAGTCCCATGATTAAAATGTCAACTTGTACTAAAGATTCAAGCAACAACTCTGCCTATCAAACCAAATTAAAGAAAGCCAATCAAGAAAAATCAGATAGACCTCACCAACCATCATATTTGAAGCACCAAACCCCTTTCATGTTATGCTTTCCTAAAACCTGTTTCTTCATATATCCCTTTATGAATTTGTGAAGAAACAACCCCATATTTCTCAAATCCAGGAATGTAACCTAGAACCCAGAAAGATAGGATTTCTGTAAGCAACATCTCAGTTTTATGGCTTTATTCATGCTTTTGTTATGAAGATATTTAACACTTCAGATAATAGCAATAACCCATAGCTTATTTCAACAGAAACAACCCATACATATTGAACAATCCCCAATCAATTTAATCTAATAAGCAAATCATAAAAGACGCAGTAAGTAACCTCAAGATGCACAAAACTATCGGCAATGGAACACCAGAATAACTTTAAAAATCAGACCCACAAACAGAAACGAATTGTCGATTTTCATGAAGCTGAAATTAGATAAGGATACAAAAATTTCTAAAGAACAAAAATCATGCCTCGCGAAGGAGATTCCAAAATGCAAAACCACATTTATTCAAGTTCCATTAAGAAATTAAATTCCCATTGGTATAAGTAGAGGTGTGGTGAAGAAATTGGTTGCTTTGGTGTATAGATTACGATGTGAGACGAATTTGGGGAGAAGGAAATAGGAATGGAGGAGAAGAAACCGTGAAGAAATAGAGAAGCATGGAGTGTAAGACTATCAATGCTCAAAATATCAAAGAATGAGGAAGGAACCCCCATAATTCCGGATCTTTTGGCCCAGATCCGCTTCTTTCGGGCTAACTCACCACACCTTTTATTTACTTCACCAATTCGGAGATAAATTTTACAGAAATTGATTATTCAAATCAACATTTTTCACATTTAAATTTGTCTATTAATTATTTTTCTTTCGGATTTATCTAAATTTCACTATTTCCGTAATATTCAGGTCTGCAGTATTACGAATCTAGTTAGAAGGCAAAAAAACCTTCAAATTTAACACAGATCTGCAATTACGACAACTGTAAATTGGTTAAATTTGAATTTTTCTTGTCTTTTCGCTAACAGTGTTGTGGATCTGGATGTTGAGAAAGTACTGACATCTAAATAAATCTAGAAGAGAAATGGTTAAGAGACCAATTTAGACGTGAAAAATGGTCATTTGGATCAATTTCCATAAATTCTACACTACCAGATATTACTTATTTTTTGTAATAATTATTAATCTATATCTATACTTCTTTATAAAACGAATTACGGTTCTATTGAATTTTCATGAGGTATAACTATTCTTGCTTGATGTACAGTGCTTTGATGCACATTAAGGTCAAGCTCCTATAATTTCTCTTATCCACGCCTCTTTTAGGGTATGTATACCAAATTTCTCATCAAGTTCTATATGAATAAATTTATCTGTCTAGATAAAAATTTGTTGTTGTTTACTTCTTTACCCTAAATCAATCGTCTAAATGACAATAATGACCGATCTACCCCTCAAACATGTGTGAACTTTACCGCAGTTCAATCAAACTTAAACAAAAAATCTATTGTTCATCAAACCAAAAATTCGAAACCGATTCGATCAAAAAAGATGCTCGATGGGGGCCTGTCTTACAGAACCCAAATGAGGATTTCCCAAAATCTGTTGGATCAAAACAGTGAAGTGGTCAAACAGACATGGTGCCAAAGCAGAGGACAATGTCGCTGGAAAAGACGATGAAGCTCAAACAAACCTGAAATCGCAAGAGAAGACGATGGGCTCCAACCAAACATAAAATCTCCAGGGAAGACAGTGAGGCTTGAACCAGACCTGAAATCGTCGGAGAAGACGATGAGACCCTGTCCCGTCAAACGGGAAAACCTCCCCTGAAGTCGGAAACTCTCCCTCTTCTGCATCGATCTAGCTTTCTTTCTCTATCTCACTCTCCATTTGTTGCTCTCTCTCTCTCTCTCTCTCTCTCTCTCTCTCTCTTCTAGGGTTATGAAATGAAAGAGGGGGTGGGATTATAGGAGGAGGCGTGGGATTGAGGGGGTATAACTGTCAATATTTTGGCTTAATAAGGACAACAAACCTCTTCCATATTGTGTGAATAAGCCCATATATTTATCATTTAGCTGCAAGTAAATATTCATATATGGCTGTGCGAAAAGCCAAAATAATCATTAAGCTAATTAACTCAAAAGTAAACGCCCCCTTAATCACATTCCTCCACCTCCATCCAAAAACGTGATCGTCCCTAATTTCTCTCCATCTCCCCCCCCCCCCAAGAAATGGAGTGTTCTCTCTTAAATACTGAAATCCCATCTTTTTCTTCTCTTCTTCCCTCAAATGCATATTATTTTGCAACCTTTTTTAGTTCGAAACCCTGTGTATCAAAAGATCAGGATGAACTTAAAGGATTCAATTTAAGAGTTGCAGCAACACCAAATTCAGAGGTTTCTTGTTCATATGCATATTTTTATATATCTTTGTTGTGTGTTCCCTAATTCTCTCTGGTAAACGCCTCTGAATTCAGTAAGCCATCAACACTTCAGTAAAACATGTGAAGAACTTAAAGGATTCATGTAACTGTTTCAACAACAGCAGATTCAGAGGTTTTATGTTTGTTGTTGTATTTCTATTTTAACCTTCCAAATCTGGCATGTTTGCTATAATGAGAAGAAGGTGTCCAATCTACATCTTTTTCATCTAGCTTTTGTTGTTTTCTTTTACTTTCAATTGTGGGAGTAAGCTTCATAGATAAGCACAATGAATATTCAACTCTTTTATTCTATGAGCACATCGAAACGCTTATGTTCCTTACAATCTTGATACTTGGGATGTATGGTTGAATGATTATCGTGTAGGAAAGCATATGAAATGGGAGGCAAAGTATGCTGACAAAGCATACAATAAATCTCACGTTGGTAGTGAATGGAAGAAACCTTTTGTTGCTTCTTCTCATGTTAAGGGAATAAAAAATGCAATGTGTAACACCCGAAATTTTTCCATATTTTGGCTCCGTACACGTTAGGATTTCTGTTTTGTTTGTGTGATGTACGTTTTTTTATGTATATATATATTATATTAAGAGCTTTGAACATTTTATTTTGTTATTTGGGTCTTTCTTTAGTTAAAAATATGTATATATATATATATATGCACATATATATATATATAATTGTAAGGAAGAAAATGTTGGAAAAGGGGGTAAAGTAAGGGAGGATTAGCTTCTGTCTTTTTCCTACCCATAGACTTCCTTTACTTTTGTAGGGTTCTTTTTTTTGCATTTGGGTCTTTGTCTACTGTTTCTTATGGGGAAGATAAGTGAAAAAGTAAAGTAGGTAAGGGGTGAGGGTGATTCATAAGAAAAGGATCATCCCTTCCACTTGGGAAAGGAATCTAGGAGGTGAAGAAACAACAACAGATACAGCAAGAGCTGCTGTTTGAGAGTGAAGGGGGGGAACGGTGGTTTCGTGCACAAAAGAAACGATTGGGAAGAAGCTGCAGATTTTCGGCATGACCTTCTTAGCGCTGGCCAAGTCTGCACAGCACTCTGGTCGCTCCCGCACTTCGGATTCTCCAGGCGGCAGGTGCTGCCGCGCCATTTCAGACAGCAAAACAGCAGACATCAGGGTTTTTCCTCCGTCTTCCTTGCCCGAACAGCAGGCTGCTGCCGCGCCTTCGCGACAGCAAACAACAAGCAACCAGCAGCAGTCGCGGCCGTCCTGTTTCTCCGTATTCGTTGCTAAATTTTGAGTTCCTTTTCGTCTACCTTTTGGTTCAAATACTTAGAATTTCTCCTAAATCCTACAATGTGAGTTCACCCGATTTCTTTTATGAAACCATATGCTTAATGTGAGGATGTGCTTACTTACAGTAGGCTATAATTTTATGAAATTACTTGTGTGGATGAAATGATGGTTTTAGGACAAAAGTGTTTGGAACTTGAGAATCCCGCTTTTAATAATAGGATGAGCGTGAGAAGGATTTAATTACTAGGTGGAGTGCATGTTTCGATTGTTGACGGTCATAAAACTAGAAGAAAAAGGGAACCCTTATGACCTATACATGGAGTTCTTTTCTAGTGAAGGGAAATATTTCAATTGCTCAAGGATTCATGTAAGAATCTCATTTGTTGGGTAAGTGCTAATATAGTTAAGATCTCGCCTTTTAACTTATCACTAGGATGTAATGAGTCATAGATACGATAGTTGTTTATTTTTAATTCGTGAGAAGGATGATGTAAGTTGGATTTAGACATTGTGTTTATTACGTAATTTCCAAATCACCTTCTCACTTCCACTCAGAAATAGGCATTGTGATTATTATGTAATTTTCGAGATAAAGAGCTTAAGATCACGGTCAACTACATGACCAGTTTAAGATGATGTCGATGGTATTAAACCTGTAAGTGATGCTCTGTAACGTTGATCTATGACTTACTTTGTGTTTCGTCATAATCAACGGCAAATTGGGTCTCTCCTGTCATCTTCGGATGTTTTGCCTCTTCCATGAGTTTACTTAGGACTTACGTTCCCTCTTATACCGTCTAATTTTACGATATCAATAATTATATATAATTACATTTATAAGAAGGTTTTATTGTCACATTTGTCCAATTGCTTGGACTCACTAGGCGTAAGCCTAACACTTCTTTTGATATAGCTTGCTAATCAAGTTTCTTTAGCAGCGAGGTACCAAAGGGTTGAGAAGACGGCCGTTCGTAATAGTCATTTTTGTAGCTGAAGCACTTGGTGCCTCGAGCGTTACGATATTGGTTGATTTCGTTTTTGTTTGGAAATGGTAGAAACACCCGTTCTTAATCTTGGCATAGAATTGTCTAGATTAAAAAGGTTGTTAATTATCGTCTCTTTTGTTGTTTTGTAAACGCTTTACTTTTTCCCTTCGTTGGGTGATTTTCTTATTGAAACTCTAGTTTTCGACTTTGTTTTGTCGGATAAAATTTATCTCCTATCAAGTTGTTTTCTTCCTTTATTTTAGGGTGTTACACAATGCCCTTTCTTCGCTTTCAAGTTTAGTATGTGTGATTGATTTTTTGTTTTAAATTGAAAAGTTGCCTTATGTCGTCTGCAGTGGTATCATGATTCTATGTCTATATAGATTTGATGTTTCTTCCACTATCCATGGCCATAATAATGTTCACAAGATTACTATCATTCCTCACAATGAGGTTGACTGGTATCTTCCAATATTTGTTGAGTAGATTTTGACTCTAACTAAGGGGTTGTTCAGTTCGTTCTCTGTTAAGACATGTATGGATATAGTTGTATCTATTGATATATCTGTCTGAATATTAACAGATAAGTTATTGTTCTATTGGTGTGTTGAATAAACAGTCTGAATGTCAAATAACCATTTTACCCTTCAGACCTAATGTCAAAAATGGGGGTTTTCCATATCTATAATGGTTTTCCAATCCAATCCAATCCACCCTCTTTAATTTGTTTCCAATCCAACTCGGTCCTCACCTTCACCGTCTCAACCTCACAGCCTCACCCTCGATCCTCACCTTCACTGTCTCATGTTTTCTAAATTCTAATCAGCGCTCGTTCCGAACAACAACTCTGCAAGTGTGAAGAAGAAACCCTAATTGGATGATGTGTTTTGATGTTTTACCTTCACTCAGAAAAAAAAAATATAGGTATGGATACCGAACAACTTAGTAGTCGCTCTCTTCTACTCATCGTCTTCTCCATCTATTTTGATGAGGAGAAGGTTTTTTGGATCTATGTTTGGAGGATGAATACTTTCAGAGAAAAAAAACACATGTATCCGTAGCCTTCCTGTGTGGGTTTCCATGGATGAAGACTTTTGGAGTTTGGAGGATATCGATTTGTTTGAAAGGTTTTCTGGATCTGTGTTTTTTTCTGTTTAAGGATGAAACTGATGTGTTCAAAGGGAGGAGTGGCTATAGAGAGGGGTTGGGAGAGGGGTAGTTGAGGAAGCTTAATAGCTTAATACAAAGGACATAGGTTTTGTAGTTGAGTGGTTCAGCCATGGACTGACCGAATAAGCCCATACCGAACAAATAGATATGGCTATGCAGATAAGCCATATGGATTATACAGTCCATTAAGCTGCAACCGAATAGCCCCTAAGGTTGTTTGAGTGGTTTTGTAAGCCGACAAGGGTTCAGTCAAATACTAAATGGGTTTTTTTTATTCTTGAATTAATCTTGTGAAGCTCGTTCCATATGAAATTAATCTCGATGTATTAAGCTACATTAATCTTTTTCTTTTATCTTGTCAGGTAGGCTTAATTCATCCCCGATGCATCCTCAATAAACCACAGTTTCTGTCACGGGTAAAGAAAGTCCAAAGAAGATGAGGGATTGGGGAAAAGCTTTTTTCTCTCTTTTTTCTTCATCAATGTTCCATTATCATCACTACTGGATTAATCATCATGTAGTCAGTTGTACTTCAGTCTTTCATCATCAATTTGTTTCATTTTTCATGTAAAAATCATGATCTGTTTATATGACCTGACCTTGCAACTGTTGCTCGAATCCATCAATAATGATGAAAATAGTTCTTAAATTTGATCTGAGCTTGCTTCTTGGTTGAATATTGTTCGCTAAAAATCTTGTAGCCTTGGGAATTACCAAGTGGCATATCAAATTTGTAATTTTCTAAAACCAAAATAAGTAGAAACTAAAAAAAGCATCAGAATGGAAACATTTCAGAGATTAAAACTGAAGATCTATGTCAATTTTTGGAGTTGGAAAGCATATAGGTTTGAAATTATAGGAACTAAAAAAGAATATGTTTTCTTTGGGAGAAGGAAGGGAGCATCAGTTAAAAAACAGTTGGCTCAACCTTAACCTCTTTCATTTATTTGCAACTCTTATAACACTGTATCAACTGGTCACGCTATAACATTGTAATCACCCTCGTAAGTCAAATTTTTATATATTATCTGTAACATCAAAAAATTTACTATTTCAGTTGGCATGTAGCTCAAGTCAAATATTTGATTGTTTAACTGATGTCACCCTCCAAATAAAGACAGATAAATGAATCTTGTTGACCCCATTTTAACACCAACAACTTATTTGGAATGATGATAATGTGCAAGTAGATAATTTTTAACTTGAAATCCTTAAGGTTTTGTTGCTCTAAGTTCTTAGAACAGACAGACAGATTCATCTTTATTGATTTAGCAAACTGTCGTTCATGATCAACTTAGCTTAAATACTAAAGGAAGTTTAGAACACAGGGACTAACAAGAGTGTTCATTACAAATGAATTAATAACCTCGAGGTGTAGATCAAATGATGCAGCATTCCTGCAAACCTTGTAAAATAGTATTATATTTGTTTCAAAATGAGAGGTAAGCCTCAACATTTGAGATGAAATAGATTAATATTTGATGTAATAATTAGTTATGGATTCTTTAAATTTTGGAAGAAAAAAGTTCATAGTGACCTTATTTATGAAGAATTCTGAATAAGAAAATTTGGTTATGTGTTTTCATAAGAACTTCTAATTTTTATGTTGAATCAACCTATTTTCTTGTTTTCCATTCTCGTGTAGAGGTCTTTCCTCTCAAGTTTCCAAATTTCATAATGTGAACTTATTATGGTTGTCAAAGAAGTCAAAAAGAAAATTTTGTAGTCTTATTTGCTTGGTTTCCTTAGGAGGAAGGGGGTCTTCAAAGGTGTTGATTGATTTACTATATCACTGAAATGTCGAGTTGTCAACCAGAAACCACTTTTTTTAAGCATAGCTAAACCCCCCCTTTGGGACCCAAGAGGTAAAATGAAACACTTGGTTGTTACCACGATTTGTTAACTTTTTGATTTGGTCATTTAAGTTGAAGCTTTAACTCAAAGCGAACAAGTCTATCACTTCTATGTGTTAATATTAGATCTTTGACCCAGAGATGAGCGAATTCGAAATACGGCTTGAGTGATGCAAGAAGCTTTGATAAAATCTTCAATAATCATATATATATATATATATATATATATAAGTGGTTGCATCATCATTACTGAGGTACAAATATTGGTAAAGTGGTTGTGCTATAGAGATATGTGTATCTCTTCATATTGGCGAAATTAAGATTTTCAAGATCTACTTAGTACGGTTGGCAAACTGAACGTGGCCACTTTGTGGCGAGACCGTGCAGGCCATAGTTCACACGACGTAGCTTCCAGAGAAGGAAATCGTGTAGGGTCATTTTGTAACTGGTTTTGTCAACCATTTAAGTTACTATCATACTCTTGGGAAAAACTTGCACCCATATCCACTTTTTATTACTTGTTATTAGTTAATCTAGAAAATCTCCCAAAATATTTTCTTCTTCTCTAATTGAAATCGGTGTACATTCGACTTACTACTCGAAACTTTGAAGTCTATTTCGCGAGGCAATCCACGTCGATGTAATGCAAGTGAAGGGGGCCTATATGACATGACTGATCAATAGAAATAGTATCTATCTAAAATATATGCATGTTGGATTCGCAATCCCTATGGAGATATGATCTCAGTATTATTACCACTTTATACTTGAAAGTGATCATAGTAGTTGGTGTGCACCTGCACCATTATTATGTCACATTTATGTGTGTGTGTGTGTGTGTGTTTTTTTGTCATCAGAAGCTCATCAGAGAAAGTTTGATGAATTAAAAGAAAAGCTAATTCCAGGGAAAGTAAATTACAGTTTACATTATTAAATTGATGGAAAATAAAATTTTGAAACGACAAGACAACTCAGGAGGAGTAGAAAGTCGCCACAACCTAGGAACGGTTTATGTTACAGGAAGCCAAAAACTTGAGCCCTTTTACAAACTTCTTAAAGGGGAGAGCGACAAAACGACAAGGAGAACATCGAGACACCATCAGTTTGGAGCGCAAGGCTAGCAGAGCTTTGTTGCATAGGAGATCTAGTAACTATTATGAATGTGGAAGAGTGGGGAATTATTCTAGTTACTATCCCAACGTTTGGATGGAAGAATGTTGCTAGGGAGTGCAGAATATGTCAACTAAAGATGGAAGAGTGTGCACATTGTGGAGCCTAGAGCCCGGGAAGCTCTAAAGGTAAATGGAGTCAGAAACGTAACAATGGTTCTTGTGAGTCATCAGCCTGTTATCCTCGATGTACCTTTGATCCGTTGAGTGAAAGCCCTCTCATACGGAACTTTCGAATCACTATGATTGACTTTCGTCTCTATTCGACCAGTGGTCTCACAATCAGGAAGACTTATACCATTATGCTCACGAGCAGAACCTTAGCTTGAGCCAACCTTCACACACCTCTGTTACTCTTTAGGACGCATCCACTCCAAGGTAAACTACCCACCACGCAGTATCCCCCAAATAATCGGTGCGGCATTTAGGCATCCTTAGATGAAAGAGTGGTCTTTCAGAATTGGTAGTTGTGTGTCACCACCTCCCACCAATCTTACACATTTGTTCAAGGTTGTCACTACGAATAGGGTTGACATTAGTTAAGGGTAAACCCGTTATCCGTTATGTGTCGACCCGTTGGATAAGGGTATGTGTTAAAAAAATTAATCTAATTTATTCACTTATTCATTACCCGGTCATCCAACATTTTAGTGGATAATATAAATGGTTTTTCGTTATCCAATTAGTCGTTACAATATATATATATATATATATATATATATATAGAGAGAGAGAGAGAGAGAGGAGGGACCAAATATAAACCTGCTCATTTTTATAAACCGTGCAAAGCTCATTCAACTAATCATAATTTTTATTTTTAGTTTCACTTTTTTTAATTGTAAGGATTGATTAATCATTTTTGTTGTTGAGAGCGTTAATTATAAACACTATCATCTTCATTATATTATTTTTTAGAAATAGATTCCATCGAAATGAGAAATATATTAAACAATTTCATTTTTTAAATAGAAACAAAAATATATGAAATAATTTTATCAAGAAAAAGAATTATATGAAATAATTTCATCAGATTAGACAATTCCATGAAATATATCCATTAAATTAAACAATAAATTTGACGGATGATTATGGTTTATAGGATTTGTACAAATGGCTTGGTTCGTAAATTAAACCATATATATATATATGTGTGTGTGTGTGTGTGTGTGTGTGTTTGTGTGTTAGGAATGGCAACGGGCCGGGTATTGTTATCCTCGTCCCCGAAACCGATAACAAAGACCGTTCCCATAATCGTCCCGATCCCCGTCGGGTCCCCACAGTTTCCCCGACCCCCATTGGGTAACCCGTTAAGAATAAAAATCCTTTTTCCCCCATTGGTTTTTCGTTCACCGTTGGTTATACCGAACCCGAAACCTAACTGATCTGAAAAAAATTGCAATACGTTAATTTTCACAACAAAAAGTAAATTACAATTTTTTTAAATATGTAAAGTTTAAATGTCTCAAACATAATCAAACCAATTACAAACATCATCTTGTATTACTATATAGAAGTAAATAGGAATTCAAACATCAAACAACTAACATCACGATTAGACAAAATAAACAAGACTTTTTTCTGAGCCTTATTTGGGGTATTGATGTAAATTGGATAAAAGTCGTTTAAAATTTTAATGTTGGCATTTTCTTTAATTGATATATATCGATATGTATGTGTATAAATTAAAATTAATATATACACACATATTGGGCCGGGTCAGGCCAGTGATCACCGTCCCCGATAAAATCCCTGAATATGTCCCAAATTCCCGTCCCGTCCCCGATAAAATGTCCCTGAATCCGGTCTGAAAATTTCGGTTTTCAGTTTCACCATTTGTTTCATTTTTTCTTTTTGCTATCCCTAATGTGTGAAGGTTCAAACGAGAACACTTCTCTTTTTCGAGAATGCGAAAATATTTATGTGTCTTCAAATTATTTAACTCATAATTGAAATTAAAAGAAAACAAACTAATTAATTATAGATGATTATGTGATTTTATATTTATCTGTAATTTTGATAACATCTTTTATCTTTAAATTTACATACAAATAATATGTTAAGCCGATACCAAACAATGGACAAATTATCATTACATCAAGATCTCATAACGAAGAGATATAACAATGAATGTAGACGTGATTATTATTGATTTCTGATTATTATAACATTATCACATCACTTTCACAATAAAAACCACATGATTATTTGATGATTATCAAATCAAAATCAGTCATAAAAAAATTTCACACAATAAAAACCACGTCATTATTTGATGATTATCAAATCAAAATCAGTTATAAAAAAATTTCAACTCATCAAATTATTATAACATCATTATCAAAACAATTATCATAGTATTATTACATCAGAGTTGGACGATATAAAAAGTGTTCGATAATAATAACAAAAATTAGGAAGTGATAATGACAAATCTATGATAACACACCACTTCGAAATCTAGGAATTCAAGAAGTCACATTCCATTCATAATTTGGTAGTAAATTATATTTACATGTTTCCTCCCCAATTTAGAAAGGGAGATTCCTACCCTACACACACACCCACTACTACTTACCATTTATACCAAAATCACTACTCCTTAGAGCTGGGATGATCCACAAGACAAAGACATCAGAAGAAAAGCAGCTTGTTCTACTTCCCCTAATTTATTGTAATCGTTTCTCCTTACCTTCTTCATCCCACATCTCTCCCTCTGACTCTGCAACAGCACCACCAGCTTTATCCTCCTCAAATCACAATCATCTTCACCCACTGTCGAACAACATGACGATGATGACGTCGGAGACGACGGTGGCTGTTTCTCTTTCTTCTTCTTCTTCTTCTCCGATCCTGATATACTCTTCTTCTTCCTGTACCTAATTCCACAAGCATTGCAAAGCGACTGCAACACACACATGTTTATTCAGAAATTGATGAATTAATTAGACTTGAATCGAACAGTATGAAATCAATTGAACAACCTTGGGACCGGAGGGACCGCTTCTCCACAACGGCGTTTTAGAGGTCTTGCAATCGACGCAGATCTTCTCATCAACCTTACTGATCGTTTCACCACAACACATCGATTCCTGAGAAATCAAAATTGAAGAACATCAGAACCGACCTTCGATCACCAAATTACAGCTTACACAAACGATGAAATACCATTTTTTTTTTCTTCCTGTTTGATGTTGTACTTCCTCTAAACCAGAAAGTGATGTGGAAAATCAGAATGGAGGAATAAGTAGAGAGGCAGAGGAGAAGGAATGGCGGCGGAGGTGAATGGTGGCGCAACCACATGAGAGAAACCGACAGAAACAGAGTATACCGTAAATAGTGGGCCAAAAGGGCAGAGGGTTGTAGGAAAAATGATGATGATCGGACGGCTGAGACAAACCCTAACCCTAAAGGACGGGATTGAGATGTGACGAAAATGACCTTGGGATATTCGCCCGCTAAAAAAGTGTTGGGTCCAATGCCCACGTGTCATCGTTTACGACTGCCAAAACTCAGTGATAGTGCATGTGAGCAGCCGAGTATTCTGCAATAAAATCTATCCTCTTAATCTATATATGAAGAGAAATTGATGACAATTTTAAAACCGTACGTTAATTTAAGTTTTTTAATTATGTTTGAGAACAGTGTTACAATATATTTTATAAATGTTTGATTAATGTTAATAGTTTGTTTAATTTGAAATTGCAGTTTTAATTGAAATATCATTTAAGATGATAAAGTTACCATTTTTAATTTTTATAACAAATTTAATTGAATTTATGAAAAAACATTTTATGATATTAGTGAAAATTTGAGCGGTGCGTAAACTGTAACAACAGTAGTGGAAGTTCAAGACGATGCATTAAGAACCATATGACCAAACTAAAATAACGGATGTTCACCCATAAAACAATAAAATTAATATCAAGTGGGGTTGATGACCCACATATCAGATATTAAATTGATAAAAATAAATACTACATTTTACCGTAACATTTGATAATATTTGAATTGTAAATTAGAGAGGTGCGTCAAGCCTTGATAGTAGTAACACCAAGACAATGGATAAATAACTACATCACCAAGTAGTATAATAGGCATTCCCAAATAAAAAATAAAAATACCAAGTAAGCTGAAGAATCATATATTATATATCAAACTAAGAATATATAATATACTTGATCTAAACAAAAAACCGAAGATTTAGGGCAGATATATAAACTAAAAACATGTAATATATTTGCTCTCAAGCAAAAGGTTGAGATCCGAGAAAAATATGTTTGTTCCATTTTTAGTCATTTCTTTTTATAACAATTTCCCTCGTGCCATTTTTATTCCATCATCCAATGCGGGATGCAAACAATATTGAGAAAAAAATTAGTCCTTTTCTTTTTGTATCCACCTCCACACGTCTTTTTCATTCTTTGATCTAATGTGGGATGCAAACAATAATGTGAGAAAAAATGATTTATAATGTTTATAAGTTGTCACCAGATTATCCATGATTATTGTTTTTATAATATAAAATATATGTATAGTAAATTCATATCATTACCTTCCGTTGTTATTTTAAAGTCAAATGATATATAATAATTTTTAATATAAATAGAATTTTTGCAAACATAGAGAAAAGTTAAAATGAACCAACTTTATTACTTAATACAAAAATATTCTGCAAATTATGTATACAAACATTTTTTTTCCGCAAAAAGAGGGTGGGTCAAATTGAGCTAACCTCATGACTCCCTTCATATATTGACTCCCTAATTTCAATTTTACATCTACTCACCAATATGGTATGATGAAAATCAATCATATTTAATATTTAAAAATACTCAATCTTCATTTTGTTACCTCTTTTACCTTTGTTTTCTCTTTTAATATACATATATTGATATTGATGATTGATTTGTGACACAATACCATTGACACTGTTTTTTTATTATGATATGTGTGTGTAGAAATTATGTTTCTAATTTAACTTATAAACGTTGTTTTAAAACATAATTTTATTAAAACGGTTAAAAATGCAATTAAGTGGGCACGAAATAAGTGTACTATAAATTTTGATTTTTATAGTAAGAGAGACGATGAAAACAGCCAACTCATAAGCCACATTTCAAGATTTGATTAATACTCACAGCTCATTAAGTCACCTCATTATCCTTTGGTTGTTCCTTTAATTTATATATATATAGGGGCAGGTCCAAATGAAAACCATGTCATTCTAAAAAACCGTATAAACCAAAATCGACCAATAGGAAAATTCCATTCTTTTTTAATTAAATTTAATCAATAAGGGTATTTCGGTCATTTTCATCATTTTTTTGATAAATAAGGAAGTTATTAAGGAATATTAAATAAGAAAATTTATTAATGGAAATTATATGAATGGAAAGATTTAAAGATTTTAATATATTATAATATTAAAAATTGATTTTTTTTGTTATTCAATGAATCTGGAAAGTTTTGTTAAGATTATAGCTTGTTATGGAATGAATTCTTGATTTGAGGTTGATATAATGAAACCGGTGCATAATATTATAATAATGTTCATATGAAAAGGTTTCATAACGATGAAACGGGTGCATAATATATTAGTATGCATAATGAAAAGGGGGTGCATAATATATTTTATTCTTTAAGCAATTAATGTTCATATGAGAAAGTTTCATTATAAAATGGTTTATTTGTTTATTTTATTAATATTGTACATGTTCATGCACTTGTTTCATGATGATGAAACATATTCATATGAATGGAAAGATTTAAAGATTTTAATATATTATAATATTAAAAATTGATTTTTTTTTTGTTATTCAATGAATCTGGAAAGTTTTGTTAAGATTATAGCTTGTTATGGAATGAATTCTTGATTTAAGGTTGGTATAATGAAATCG